GGTGTGTCGAAAGGAGTTTCCCGCTGAAGAAGCTAAAGAATTTTAAGTGCGTGTAAATTGGAGAGAATCACTGACCCGCTTTATCTTGTGGGACAAAGTCGGAATGTTGAGGGGGGGAGGGCTGCACTTACGGTCTCTGCACGGGCTCTTCCCTTTTGACAGAGGAACTTTTGCCAGCCAACAAGGCTATTTTGCTTTCAAATAAGTAAAGCGGCAGTATTTCCTCTGTTGATTTCTGGAGTGTTTTTAAGCTTTTATTAGTTTTGGTAATTGTATAATTGCTACCGTTTTGAAGTTATAACGTACAGGTGCTAGGTGTGTGCACTGCACGAGTGCAGGACGAAAGAGCACGCTTTCCAAAGAAGCCAAGGGCAAGCGAGGGGCGTGCGCTGCATTCACACCTGTAGAGATGTGCGAGAGGGAAAGAACCCGTCCGTGTGCTGTTCGAATTAGATGTTCATTTGTGCCGTTGCGTATTTGCTCTTAAAACCTAGGCCCGCTGAGCGGTTTGGTGCGTGTGCAGCAGCCTTCCTGGCTCTTGCCCCTCGGGGCTTTGGGGCCTCCACCCACCTCATCCCGGATGAGGCCCGGGCTGAGCCCCCTGGCTCTGAAATGCAGGCCACCAGAGAAAGTGGTCAGTGGGTCGGTGACCTTCTGTGCTGCTCCTGCAGAGCGTGTCCCCCCGGGGTCTCCCGGGACCTTTCGAGGCCCGCACGACACAGCTGAGGATATCCTCAATGGTACACAGGGACACCGGCTTCCTGGAAGGCAGTGAGCCCAAATGTGCACCTGGGTCGTGATGGGTCAGACCAGGGAGGCCCGTGGACAGCAGCTGATCCCTGCCTCAGTTTCCCCTCTGTGGAGTGGAGCCAAATAGAAGGTGCTGAAGAGGCCCAGCCTGGGCAGTGAGTCTGCAAGTTTGGGGAGGGAGCCCACACTTAAGCTGAGGGGTCCCCCCAGCCCTTCATCCCTCATTAGGCTGTAGCAGCAAGGGGCTGGGGAACAGGGAGACCCAGGCATGGACCACCCCCTGCCCACAAGGGCTCAAAACCCCACCGAGCTTCCCAGACCCCAGACCTGCCCACCTGAGTCACTGTGCTGGGATTCCAGGGGAGGGGCCTGGAGAGTGGGGAGGGCTGAGGTCAGACTCCCCATTGGTTGGATTTCCTTGTGCACAGGAGGAGGTCATCCCTAAGCAAAGCCCTTTTGTGTGCTGTGGTCCTGCAGGTTGAGGACCCCCCAGGACTCCCCAGGAGAGGTCCTGGTACCTCTCAGTGTCCTGGGACCAGTGTCCTGCCTGAAGGTGGGGGACATTGTGGGAACCAATGCCAGGGTTCTGGATGGAGATCTCTCTCTCCCCATGGGGTAGGGAGCACCTTGGGAGTGCTGTTTACCAAATTCCGGGATCCTGGAATGGGGGGGGGGG